GAGTCGTTACTTTGGGAAATTATATTCATTTGAAATAAAAGATAAAAAAAAAGATTTATTTAATTCTTCTTGAAAGGCCGAATGGCCAGAGAGAGGGAGACCCCAAGAGATACCTTTTCATCTCCCGTTCACTCCTCAAAATGGCCACAACAGCCAAGGGCTGGACCAGGCCATAACAAAGAGCTTGGAACTCCAGCCAGGTCTCTCACATGGGAACAGGGACCCAAATACTTGGGCCACCATCTGCTGTTTTCCAAACCAATATCAGGAGGCAGGAGAGGAAGTGGAGTAGCTAGGGCTCCATCTGCACACCAGTATCCCAAAGGCCAGCTAAAGATGCCACAATGCCTCCTGCCCTGGGACCTTCTCGAAGCGCCCCCACACACCAAACAGCCCACTGACAGGCCGAAGCAAACTCATGGTGTGGACGTGGAGAGCTGCTGTCCTCGCTGTGGGAGTGGATGAGAACTCTGATATGCAATCAGCCAGCGCCTTTCATTTATACACCCCTGGCAGCCCCGCCCAGGAAACACCCTTTTAGTTGTGGCTATCTCCTAGGGCAATGAATTTAAAATGCCTGTAGGGGTGGGTGCTGTGGTGCAGGGGGTGAGGCCAGGGCTCTGCTTCCTATCCTGCTCTCTGCCTTGGCCTTGGGAGGTAGCGGAGGAGGGCCTGTCTCTGGATCAGCCCAGCTCCAGAATCCGGGCTGTCTGGGGAGTGAACCAGTGGATGGAAGCCCTCTCTCTATCTATCTCTCCCTGTTCAAATAAAATAAATATATCTTTAAAAAGCCTAAAATGCCTAAAAAAGGATAGCTAGCTCTGGCCCCGTGGCTCACTAGGCTAGTCCTCTTCCTGGGACGAAGGCACTCCACGTTGTATTCTCAGTTTGGGGTGCCGGTTCTAACCTGAATGCTCCTCTTCAAGTCCAGCTCTCTGCTGTGGCCAGGAGGCAGTGGAGGATGGCCCAAGTGCTTGGGCTCTGCACTTCCATGGGAGACCAGCAGGAAGCACCTTGCTCCTGGCTTTGGATCAGCACAGCGTGCTAGCCCCAGTGGCCATTTGCCTTGTGAACCAACAGAAGGAAGACCTTTCTCTCTGTCTCTCTCGCTAACTCTGCCTGTCCCCCACCCCGAAAAAAAAATGCTAGCAGTAGACAACTGTATTTTACTGTATTTGTTTATGACACCATTTTTTTAAATTTGACAGATATAGTTAGGCAGTGAGAAAGAGAGAGAGAGAAAGGTCTTCCTTGCATTGCTTCACTCCCTAAATGGCCGCAACAGCCGGAGCTGCTGGGGCCCAAGCACTCAGGCCATCCTCCACTGCCTTCCCAGGCCACAGCAGAGAGCTGGACTGAAAGAGTGGCAGCCGAAACTGTAACCCGGCGCCAACATGATTAGTGGGCACTGTCAATGAAGTATCAACCTCTGCTAGCCTGTCGGCTGACTACAAAACGAGGATGGAATATTACTGTCATCGGTGTATGTGAATATAGGAACAGAATCTTGTCATAGCTGGA